GGGCTGTGCAGCGCCGGTGAGCTCTGCCCGCGGCGGCCCAGGTGTTTGCCGCAGGCGGCCGGGCGGGCAGTGCCGCGTGGTCGGGGCGAAGGGCGCGCAGCGGCTGGAGGACCGAGGCAGACTCCGCCCGGGGGGTTGCTTTGCTTCTCTCCCGGGACAAACCCCAGGCGGGGAAGGAGCCGCTGTGCCGGCCGGAGATGCGGGCACTGCGCTTCGCGACCCCCGCGCAGCTGGCTCAGGGCTCGTCTCCCGCCCAGCCCAGCCCAGCCCCGCCCTCCGCAGCCTGACTGGGGGCCGTGTCTCAGCCCCTGGGGCTCAAAAATGTAGGAAAGGGTTGCGAGAAAACTTTTAAAAGTGGATCAACACATTTGAAAAAAAGGGATTCTCCTTTCAAGGAGAAAAACGTGGGAAGCCGTGGGTTTCCCCTTGCAGGCTGGTAGAGTTTAAGACCTCGAGGGGCTGTTTGGGGCCCCGTGTCCCACACACCGGGGGACACTGGGGCGGGACTGGTTATCAGTGTTTACAAACGGGTCCTGGTACGAAAAAGGTTGAGGACCAGTGCCAAAGAGAATGGAGCTGGACTGCTCTCAGCAGTGGCACATAAAACCAGGAGCAACGGTCTTGCGTTGCAGCCAGGGAAGCAAGGTCAGAGCTGAGGAAAAACTGTGTCACTAGGAGGGTAGTAAAGCACTGGAACAGGTTACCCAGGGAGGTTGTGGGCTCTGCCCCTGGAGAGTCTCAAGACCTGGCTAGACAAAGCCTTGGCTGGGATGATCTAGTTGGGGCTGGTGCTGCTCTGAGCAGGGGGTTGGATTAGATCTGACCTCCTGAGGTCCCATCCTACCTTCACTTTCTGTAATTCAATGAGGCCCCTTTCCTCCAAGAATGTGTCCAATCCCTTTTTGAAGCTGGCTAAACTGTCAGCCTCTGCAGCCTCTGGTAGCAACAAATGCCACACTTGAACGATGCTGTGTGCCTTTTGTTCCTTTTAAATTTACTGCCTACAGGATTCATTTTTTGACTGCAGATGCACAAGTCCCAGGAGGTTTGATTAGTGGCTGTGTGAGATTTTGGGGAGGTGGATCTCATGTGGTCTTCTGTTCAGGGCCAACAGCCTGGTCTGACTGAACTTGTCTGACTGGAGATGATCCTGGTTCTGTCACCTGCTGTGTGCCTTTCAAGCACTACTCCGTGCCTCTGTTTCCCCTCAAACCTTGCGTGTTTTAAACTGAAAACTCATCACGGAAGGGTCTGCGTTTGTGCTGTGCCCAGTGCAATGGACCCAGGTGCCACCCACTACCATATTAAAATATGATCCTCTGCACCTGTGCAAAGTACATATCAAATCCACCTAAATCTGGTTTTTCCACTTACCAGGAAACTAAGTGGACATTTTACACTTCCTTTGCATGGGTGTGAATCATTTCACAAGGAAAGCAGTGAGAATAGAGCTTGTTAATTGCTAAATATTAACAAACCAGGAGTAGTTTTTGCCCTGTACTTATTTGTGATGAGTCTTAATGTAAATAGAAATATTGGAAACAATACAGCTGATACTGCATGTGTCAAGATAACAGTGTACTACTCAATATTTCAAAGGGAAAAATACCCAGGCATTTAACCATGGCTAAATTGCAGGTGTGGTCATAGCTACCATGAAGAGGAAGTGTGGATGTAATGTCTGTCATCACTTTTTATGGGGAAAGATGCATGCATTAAAACCTCAAAGAAGGTGGGTGCCTGGGAGAGAGCAGCATGTGAGTGGAGTGGGAGCTGTGATGCACTTAGTTTGAAATCACCCACTGCAGTATATTGAAATAGAGCTGTTTGCCTGGCCTAAAGTAGCAACTCTTTTTCCTGATAGCAAGAGAGAAAATGCCAAGCCCACATCTATGTTTACAACTGATGAAAATGTAATGAAAGGTCAACTCGACAATACTCAGGGAAGAGCTCAGAAAGAAGGACCCTTTCCTTGGGAAAACACCTCTGAGAATAACTGCCAGTTTGGTGCTTGGAGCAAAAGTCCCCTGTGCCTATTGACTCTAGGGGTAGATGGGAAGGAGAACAGACAGTCTTACCTGCCCCTGGGACAACTGCTGTGCTGCTGCTGTCCCTGCCCCTGGCTCCTTCCTTTGAACACTATGAAGCTGGTCTTTTTCAGCTTCTAGGGTCAGGTGGCATAGAGCTATGCCTGCAATGGCAAAGATCTGGGGGAGGGGAGGGGGAGCAGAGAGAGGGGTTGCTAGAATGACCTCAAGTTAGTGCCCAGGGCTCCCCTCTCCTGCCTTTGTTGTGCTGCTGGTAAGAGCAAGATTTAATCTTCTAGTCTCCTGGCATAAAGCATCTTATTTCTTAAAGCAGCACTTTCCAGTGCTCTTAGTCTGAAGGCTGAACATGTTCTTTCAAGAGGCCAATGAGTCACATTGCATACTTTATATATTTCCCTAGGCTCAACATGAGGCTACAGAAGTCCTATCTTGTTTTTCCGGGGCTCTCACAATCTGGCATGTAAACAGGCAGTGGATCACTTAGAATTATTCTTTCCAGCCTGGAATACATTAGACAGAGCAGGAGCACTGCTTAACACCTGCAGCAGAGTACGGCGAGCAGCTGCTCAGAGTACTTTTGGCTCATGTCAGATCTGCTCATATAGTTGAGGAGGAAGCTGGGGTAAAAGACAGTAGTGCTTCCTTCTTGCCAGGTAAGGTTCTTTGAATAGATGTGATATCTTTTATTAGATCAGCTGAGTAGCTGGAAAAAAGTTCTTTGCAAGCTTTCGGGCACAATCACTCTTCTTTAAGCATAGGAAGTCTCTGCTGTTCTCCTCGCCATGGAATTGATTTTAATACTTAAAGTTAAATATTGTCACATCCAGCTCAGAGGATGAATATTCAATTCATAATTCAACAGACCCTTTGTTCTAAACCCAGACACCAAAAGCCCACAATGTAAAGACTCATACACCTCCTGACCTAGGCTGGACACTGTTCCCTTAAAATTAGAGAGTTTGGAGCTGTGTGGGAGAGGGTGGATTACAGAGTATATATGCATCATGCACCTGCTCTAAAGCCCATCAAACTCAGTGGGACCTATTTCATTTTTATTTAAGAAAATGCTTTTTACCTCTTGAGCTCTGAGGTACTTTCTCAATTGGTCTTGGGACATGAAAAACTTTATTTAAAGCAGCATTTTTAAATTAAAAAAGAAACTTTAAGGGGTTCTCTAAAACAAAAACATGCTGTTCTTGCCAGGTGATAGGACCCTGTCTGTCTTATGTTAACTCTACATTTTTAACATACAGGCTGTGATGACATGGGAATATTAGGTACACTCACAGATGTACTAGGGGTATCAGAAGAAGCTTGTCATGTTTAGAATCTAAGGCCATGTCTGCATGGCAAATAACCATGTCTGGCAGAAGCCATAAGCTCTGTACGGGCTGGCTCCTAAACTGGATGCCCGTGTGGCATTTCAAGTAGGCTAAAGCGATTAGCACTGCTAAGTGGTAAGGCTGCTTAGCTTGCTGCCATGCTGCCAGGGTATGAGATAACCCACATGCAGCAGCACAATGTGGTTGAGAGTGCTACTAGAAAGGTACAGTAGATTTACCATGTTACCACAGTCTAATATATAAAATCAGAAGCATAACTGGCAAGGTCTGTGCCCTAGGTGGTGGTGGCAGCAGGGATGGAAGCTGGTGGTGGTAGCTACAGCATTAGCAGCAGCTACCATTATTACACCCACTCTATGCGGATGCCTGGGGCTGGTACCTCAGCTTAAAGCCTATAGTCCAGACTCAAGGCAAGATACATGCTCCAACACTTATTACAGATTCTGTAAAAATGGTTATAGCAATGTTTCCTTGAAACTAGTATCTCATGTTTAGCACATCAACCCAGAGGACTGGTAGAGTACCATGTAATAGACTGCTTTACACCAGGCAATTTGATGTCAGATGTCACCAACTGAGATGATGACTTGAATTTCTGCAGCCAAAACAAGACACCTTACCTGCTTTGCCACTGGAGCTCCTGCTACATATTTTTAAGTTACAGGGCAAGTTATTCAGAAAACATAGCTGCATTTATGAACACCACTGGATTATGGAAGGTAATCATCTCCCTCACTCTCAGTGGAAGATTTCAAAGTTTTGGAGCTGGAGAAAGCCAGAGGCACTATTACCAGATGTTGAAATATTGCTAGAGAATGTAGGAAAATGTGCAGCAGAATTGTTTGCATCTTGCAGTGACTGGCCCAGAGGTTTTGAAGAATTGCAGGGTCTTGTCTGTTCCTGTTGAACTAATTACTGCGTGAGTTATCATGCAGATAAAGATTAGCATAATTAACCCATGCATTCAATCATACTGAAAAAGTGATAGGGTCTAAACATGAAGCACCATTTAGTCTTGAATTTTTTGAATTGCCTTTTTATTAAAAATAAATCCTTCCAGTTAACCCACATCAATAATAATTTGATCATCCTGCCCCTTAAAATCTAAACCAAGACTCTGTAATAAGTCCATCAATTGGGTTTCACCTTAGTATTATTATTTATTTGCCCTGAAGTATATGTAGCAGGACATCCAGTGGCAAAGCAGGTAAGGCGTCCTGTTTTGGCTGAAGAAGTTCAAGTTGTGCTTCAGTTTTAAGCCAAAGTTTACCTCTATATAACCCAACTGTAAATGAGTACCCAGTCATTTGGGCAGGGAGTCAAAGATGGCTAGATATAATGTTAGCCACATCAGTCCTGTGTGTGGTCTTGGTTAAGGAAAATACCTAGAGGTCCCATTGTAGGAGGCACTAGAAGTGCATATAGT